TTTGAATATTCTTAAATTCCTTAGTTCCATTATTTTAAATTCTGGAAATTGAGACATTGAAAAGTTCCAAAATTCCTGAAATTCGGAAAATTCAATTTTTTTGGATTTCCTGAGTTTCTTAATTTCTGGATTTTTGAAATCCAGGTTCACAAATATCAGCAATTTTTTTGAGTTTGAGGATTTCTTAAGTTCCAAAATTTTTTGCGTTTTTGAACTTTCAAATTTCGAAGATCAGATATTTTAGATTCAAAGTCAAGAAATTTAGGAACTCGGAGAATCAAAGTTTTAAAACTCTCAAGTTATTCTCTGATTTTGAAGGCATTACGATTCAGAGATTCCAGAAAAATTCGAAACCAAATTTCAAAAATTCAAATCCAAAAAGTTTCCATTTTGGAGTTGTTGAATTCAATTCGATTCTGAGTTGTTGAATTCTTCAAACTTCGGAAAATTCCAGGAATTCAGAGAGCGCGGTAGAATATTTTTCTGAAGATCTCTCATTTTTATCTGTTCTTTCATAGTTTTTTCTCTCTTTTCAAGAATGCATTTTAACTTTTCCAGACATTTCCCTCCCTTTTAATTTTCCAAAATCCATACTAAAAAACTATTTTCACAAAATTAACTTTCGCTCAGAAATAGCGGTGATAAGAAAAACAATTGGGAGGTTAGACGGGAATGACGTAAATATTGCTTCCATAATTTTCTTAAAATTTGTACTGAAAAAGGAGAAGAACGTTTCCAGAAGACGTCAGAAACAACATTTCGAAAATAGAAAGGGTCGGGCAAAAACTAATAAAAATTTCCGATTCATCCATCCGAATTCCAGCTCGAACGATTAACTTTGAGTGGGTAAACAGTCACGCTACATACATTCTCACATACCGAATTTGGTGTTTGTTATTAGATGGCGCACATAAAAGAACCTGTGTTGCACTCAAGAGCTAGAAGGATGAAATTCTGGATAGATACAATTGCCAACAAGGAAAAGGTTTTTCATTTTCAGCATTTGACAATTGTGGTTTTTTGATCCGCCACCTTCTTCCTTTAAATCGAGTAGGTATCACGTACCCCCATTGTTGACATTTTATAAAACTTTTCTCAAAATAATCCTAACTAGGTCAATTCCAGTCCGTTTTGAACGATTCTTTTTTTGATCGATAGAAAATCTCTATGGATATCCGGTTACCAAAAATCGTCAAAAGTTGAACCGGATGAACCAATTTATGATTAAAAACGTACGAGTGGATCCGGTTTTTTTCCACGTTTTCCGTTTTTTCTGCCAAACTATGGCCTAAATCAAAAATCCGGCTTTCCCATTCGATCCGTAATTTTGATAGGTATGTCGACAAAAAATATTACTTCATTTGCTTAAAAATAAAAAAGGCTGATAGGTTTTGAGTGAAATGCTCGAAATTCCGACAGTCCAGCTTCCACCACTTGGTACGCGAAAACCACTGAATGGATTCATCTGATTTTTGCCTCCCTATGAAAGAAGATATCTAATTTCATTTTTTGTTTTCAGATTTTTTTTCAGGTACGTTGGTACTTGAGATATAGGTAATAAACCACAAAAAACTTCGGAAAAAAATGACCAAAAATTTTTCGTTTGAAATCTTTACCTTGAGTAATGCATCCCTCCTTCTCCTGGAACAACTTTCCACTAAAGTATCCGTTTTTTAGGGGTTTGCGCTATTCCTGATATCTACTGGTTCTGAATTTTTAGTCCTGATTCGTATAAAGAAATGAATCAGGGCCGCAGGCCCTGCAACCGATTCTACTCGATTTGAAACTTCTCATGTGACAGGGCCTAAGGCCCTGTCCGGTCTGTTCGACCTGAACGAGCGGAGCGAGCGAAAGGAGAACAGACTGAACCCTGGATCAACTGATTCCACTGAGCCAGGGCCGAAGGCCCTGCATCTGATTCCACCTAATTGCGCGGCACAGCCGCGCCTAGCGGAGTGGGCCGTAGGCCGAGGACGCTAGTTCCACCACCTTCATCCTTTAAATCGAGTAAATTTCACGCACCCCCAGTGTTGACATTTTATAGTCCGCCACAGTTACGGGAGGCACAGTTTTGATACCTATTTTGAGAAAAAAAAATGACCTGATTTGCTTCAACTTGAAAAATGTTATTAAGTTTTCAATGAAGTTTTCGAAATTCCGAGGGTCCAGCTTTAACTCAAAATATGTAGGCGAGGCTGCGCGGCACAGCCGCGCCTAGCGGAGTCGGCCGTAGGCCGAGGACGCTAGTCAATGGAATAGGAAGAATCCGTCTAAATAAGGTTTCCGTTTTGAGGTTTCATTAAATTATTGCTATCAGTTCTGAAATCTCTCCTATTCCAAAATATTGAATATCCTGTTTTTCTCAAACGCCGTATCATCACGAGAGGAAACATGTCATCTGCGAGTATAACGTTAACCTAATATCTCCCTTGTATAAAAAACGCTAAGATGTCTGTCAGTTCTCGTGTCACGCTGTAGACTTTTTGAAAAGATTGAAAAATTAGTATAAAAATTAGTATATATAGATACGTGACCCTTTAATTAAACGTGAGAAGTGCGGCAAAAAAACCATCTTTTAGATTGAAAATTTCCAGCTCAAGGAATTGCGTGAAAAGTGGAACAAGATTTTTTTTCGGGTCGTGACCTAGATTTTTTAGGTCATGACCTAGATTTTTTAGGTCGTGAACTAGATTTATTGGGCGGTGGCCAAGATTTTTCAGGTCGTGACCCTGATTTTTTTGGTCGTGACCTAGATTTTTAGGTCATTGCCTAGATTTTTTAGGTCATGACCTAGATTTGTTGGGTCATGAACTGGTTTTTTTGGGTCGTGACCTAGATTTTTAGGTCATTGCCTAGATTTTTTAGGTCATGACCTAGATTTTTTTAGGTAATGACCTTGATTTTCTTAGGTCATGACCTTGATTTTTTTAGGTCATGACCTAGATTTTTTAGGTCATGAAGTAGTTTTTTTTAGTCACGACCAGGTTTTTCATCAATCTTTATTTCTGAAAATTTTTCTAGTTCTTCTTTCAACGGGGAGTTGGTTCGTATCAAATGCTCCCATTGTCTTTAGCTGGAATATTTTCCACTGAACCCCTCGTTTTCAGAGGTTGGCCCTATGTTTTCGGCCCTCTGAAAATGTCATTTTCTATTTTTCATGTGTCTCGAAATATCAGGCGTCTCTCAAAAAATAACGAAACGGAGAACAATGACTGGGACGAAAAAAATTTGGTTAGAAGACCAAGGAAGTTCCAAGAGAGTCTGGATTAAATTCATCTCTATTGTTCTTGTTTTTGAAAAAAAAATCATTGTGTTGTTTTCAGTAGAAAAGTTTCAGATGCCAGTTTTTATGAGTTCTTTTTTATTTTTGTTTAACACTTACCCACACAAACTACAAAACTAGCGCCCAGTTGACGGCAAGGCACGTCACTGTTCTTACCAGTATGCCCTTCTTCTTCTTTCTTCCCAGTTCTAATCCGTTTAGTCATTTGGCATAGAATTTCTTCTAGCCGATAATAATGCTTCCTTATCATGAGCTTATTGTCTTCTATAGTTGTTTAAAAACAGAAGGTAAAATTTTCTGTTGTTTTTCTTCGTTTCCTAGACTTCTGTTAACTTTCCGCAAATTCAGATACATATCGTAGTCTTATTATTATCATACCATGTCATTTGCGCTCACACGGTGTTTCAGGGAGCCTGGCCGGAAAACGCGCCCCCGCGAATTCGTAGGCCAGAAGAAATTTTATAATTTTGAAGTGGACGCAGATTCGATCTATATTTATCATTCATAGATCAAATCAATGCGCGCTTATTTTCGCTCATCGTTTCAAACTTTGATCCTCAGTCAACGAAGTTCCGCAGCGAATTTAGCGAGATTTCGAGGTTTGCTAGGGCGCGTTCTCGGGCCATTCTCCCTGAAACACCGTGCGAATCCTTTTTTGGAGAAGGGTCCCCAGAACAGCCAGTTAGTTAAAGTAGTAAGACAAAAAAGGATGAAGTATAGACACACAAATAACAATGAATCCATCTCTTTTTTCATTCATTTTGGGGGATGAGGCAAGGAAAAAAAACATGAATTGGTAAGAGAGAAAGAGTGAGCACAATTGTCTTTTATATGGATTTTATGTATTACAATTTTATGGTGTTTCTGATCAGTACGTGAGTTCTCAAAACTATTCATACGAATCGGAGAATATTTGTGACGTGTATACCGTAAAACCTGTATTAAAAGGGCCTCTCTAATTTAAGAACCCCTAGAGACCTTACGAAAAATAGAAGTGCTCCCTCTAATTGAAGAGCCCTTCTATTAGAGGGACTCCTCTAATTGAAGTGCTCTTTAGATTTTATGCATTTTTTTCTGCTGCTTTGATTAAATTACTGTCTAATTTTCAAAAACTGGCACCTGAGAATTTGAAAACCTAGACATCCCACGGAAAATAGAAGTCTCCTGGTTATTACTTATGCTTTACATTTTTCTAGTTCCGTAGTTTATGATCTGCCTCTCATTCGTTTTGAACGCCATGCTTAATTTTTGAAGTGTATTTTTTTCAAGTGGGCGGTATCTCCGCCTCTCCGTGTGCCCGGGGAGAAGCCACCCCAAAATATACACGTCAGTGAAAATGAAGACAGAATTCTGGAGGAGGAAGCAAGCGTGTTCGGCTTGTTTTTGCGCAATTCTAAAATTCCATATACATAGATGCATGTGAGAGCTATATTATTATTCCAGATGGATTCCATGTACTTTTCCATCAAACTTTTTATGAGTAGAGCTATGTTTTTATTCATCCTGAATATTCCTACCTACTCAAATATTTTATTTTACCGTTAGCATTGTCCCTTCTTTAAAGCTCATTACTAAATATTTGATAATAATGGCTTTTTTATGAATAGTTTTACTCATTTAAAAACATTGAGATTCCTGATGCATACAGCACATCTCTTTCTCCCGATAACATTTTGTTTTTTCGCCAGTATATCCTAATTAATATACGTTTATACAGATGATCGAGCAGCAGGCAACTAATAGCACCGACCAACAGGTAAATTCGCAAGCCTTACTTTTTTGAAACAATGTTACAGCCCATGGAGCCTCCATCCCTTGAAATAATGCTTCTTCATCACCTCATGATAATCCTGATCACTCTATTTGGAAATACGCTTCTAATATATGTGATCTTCAAGAACAACAAGGTTTTACGACGAAAACGAGTTACACCCGTTCAAGTGAGAGCATCAAAACAATTAAGCACAGATAACAATTAGCCGTATTATAGATGCTAATGCTGCACATGTGTGCTGCGGACATCTTGTTTGCTTTGATCTCTGTCGGTCCCACTATGGCAATTACTGCTACAGTACCGGTTTTCTATGGACCTAATTGGTTATGCAAGTTCACAAAGTTTTTGCAAGTCATTCCGATGTATGCCTCCTCATTCCTCTTAGTCGCAATCAGTGCCGATCGTTACCAGGTAATACAAAAAACTATTAGGTTAGCATATTATATTATTTAAAGGCTATCTGTCGTCCATTGGCATCCATGAAATCATCTGCCTATAATCGACCTTCCCTGTATTCTGCTATAGCATGGACTGTTGCCATTCTATTCAGTACTCCTCAACTTTATCTCTTCGAGAAACGCGATGAAGATTGTCATGAAAACTACACAGATGCTTACCAATATCCTCTATATGTCTGTTTATTCAATTCAGTTGTCTGGTTGTTGCCTAGTGCAATTGCTGGATATCTTTACTTCTGTGTCTGTAAAGCAGTATGGAAGAGCACTTCGTCCAGTAGCTCGCTGAGGAATAACATGAAGGACAAAATTGAGAACATGAAATTAACAGAGAAAAATGGAGGAATGCAGGTACACCATAAAGGAAAGTACTCCATAACCGTGATTTGAAAAAAGGGATAACGCTTTCAGGTGCCACAATGCAGTGCGTAGAGTTGGACCGTCGACGTGTCCAAACAGTGAAGTTGACTCTAACCATTGTCGCAGCAAATTTCGTTCTGTGGGCACCCTTTTGTATTACTTCCGTCATCGATTCTCTCTGGCCATCAGCTATTAGTGAGTTTTTTTCACTTACAAAACGTCATCCCAAAATTCAGATTCAACGTTCGCCACCTACATCATGTTCTTTGGAAACCTCAACAGTTGTATGAATCCTTGGCTGTGGTTCTATTTCAACCGAAATCAGCTCCGTCGAGCATGTCCTTGCCGCAAGTCCTCGGAGCCCTTGATTCAATCGTTAGTTTATGTACATGTGTTGAACAGTGAGCACAGCGATTTGTGATCATTTCACATCTTCAGGTCGTGACCCTGATTTTTCTTATTTTTGCTATTTCATACTTTGTCTCTAATTCGTTCTCTTATTATGGTCCCAAGGTGTTGTACTGGTTTTTGATGGTTCGGTCTCCAAAAAATTTCATTAAGTGAACATTGTGTTGAGAGAGTATTGTGGATGATGTCTTTTCGGCGGGTTTCATGAATCGGTCTTTATGCCTCCGCTCACGTCATTGTACCTTATAACGTATCAATTCTATTTCGGGACCATCTATAATGACCCTCTGCCTACCAGGCAAAAACGTCAAGCACCGTTGACATTCGATTACCCGTTTCCTGTAGTTGACAAACTATACCATTTGTGACTCTTTGTGACATACTTGTGTTTTTTATTTATTCCATTTCCATGTTTGAGCAGAAAAAAACCTAGATAATTCCAGTCGTCGAAACTGTGCAGACGGAGATCAAGCACAAACCGAGTTTACCGTCGAAATGGCAGGCAATTCTGAATCGAATCGCTCTTTTTGAACATATTTTCACAAATCCTTCATTTGGTGTGTTCATTCCTCTGTGTTTTTTATTTTCTCTTTTTCTGGAATAAAACAGCTCACAATCAGTTGAACAAGAAACATCATCGTTTATTCGATCGATTCAATTTTTTAAACAAAGTGGACACACACACATCACTTCAATAAAAAAAAACGCTTAGAAAATGGCCAGGGAAAAACAGCAAAGGAAAGAAACATGAGACTGAGAATGTGAGAGATCGTTATTTTTTCTCAGATGTTAGAAGTCAAGTATTTAGAATTCAGATTGTGAGCGACGTGTGGATCTAACCAAATCGTGGTTTTTGGATACCGTCGATGGTGCGAAGGAATCCGGACATGTCTTCAAATCCTTCGAGTGGAGCGCGGCGTTCCTTTGCCGGAAGGAAGCGTCTGAAAAAATTGCTGTGTAATAATGTATTCTTGTATCTTATACAGTAACTATACTCACTTAATGAACTCGAGCTCGTTGTTGCGAGCTTGTCGAGCAGCTTGACTCATTTCCGCAGCTCCACTATCCACGAAGGCAAGACGTGGTTCAACCGAGTAGGCACTGACCTGGCTGGTAGCGAGAACGATGGTTGCAATTGCAACGATGATGAGAAGACGCATTCTGTGTCAATGGGACCCTAGAAAAGTAATTATTGAAGGGAAACTTTGAAAACTGGTATATGTAGCAGACGAGAAAATTTTAGTTGGACAGATTCAAAATTCAAAAAAAAAGATGCCATCATTGGGATTGCCTTAATTGTACATTCTTAGCTCAACGAAAACCAGAAACTGGACTCGGAACGTAACAGCTTCGAAATCCAAGCTCGACGAAACCATATTAGGCTCGGAACTCAAGGATTCTATTTAAGTCTAGAGCTCAACGAAACCTTTTAGAGGCTCGGAACTCCAGACGACTTTTGAAGGCAATTCATTTTAGTTCCCGATATGATACTCTTTTATACTGCTTTCTTGAGTCGCTATTCTCTCACCTAAACACGCTATATCCAGGAAACGATTACCTGAAAAGGGGCGGAGTTTTACTCTACGGAGCTATGTCGCAAATCTCAATCAAGTCGGTGACAAGTCGAGAGAAGGTAATTGCTCTCTCTATGTTATGAGGTTTTAATGGGCTCGCGGAGCAGAAAAAACATCATACACCCGCAAGTCAGCGATATGAAAATGGTCTAGAAAAGAGGGATGTGGAAATAGAGTCAACACTTTTCACCAGTAAAACAGAGCAGCATTCTTGTAACATACATACCTCACGTCATTCTAGAACCAACGATTTGACTGGGAAATTTGCTTATCAATGAAACAAAAGCCATGCACTCCCGGCATATCGAGTGGGCAGACAATCAAGAATAGCCAAATGAGACGGTTGTGTCCAGGAAATAAAAATAGGATCATGAAAAAGAAGTGAGAAATTATATTCAAAGTAGCACCGCACACTCTGGGTACAGAAGTTCGGAGATCTCAAAACCTAATCTCATAATTTTTGCAGTAACAGTAAGTATAAGATAGCTAACAGTAAGTATAAGATAGCTAAATAAGAAAGTGTTCTTTTTTTCTAAAATCTAATTGTAGTGATTTTAGGATTTAAAAAAGGCCTTCTTTGACTAGCGTCCTCGTCCTACAGCCGACTCCGCTAGGCGCGGCTATGCCGCGCAATTAGGTGAAATCAGATGCAGGGCCTTCGGCCCTAGTCTTGTGTTGGCAGTAAACTCAAACTGAAGATGTTCTCTCTGAATTTCGAACATTTCACTCAAAACCCTAATAAGGCTTTTTTCATTTTTCAAGTAAATCAAGTTTGGTTTTTTTCATATCATAGCCATTCAAATTACGCACAAAAGTACTAAGCCGGATTTTTGATTTAGGTCCTAGTTCGGCAGAAAAAAAACTCGAAAACGTGAAAAAAAACTCAAACCACTCGTACGTTTTCTTTTATATCTTTGTCCAAACAATATAATTTTTGACGATTTTTGGTATCCGAATAGCCAGAAAGATTTCCTATCGATTAAAAAAAGAATCAGCCAAAACGGACCAAAATTAACCTAGTTAGGATTTTTCTAAGAAAATTTCTACATAATGTCGAAAATGGGGGTGCGCGATACCTACGAGTTTCACAGGAAGAGGGGGGGGGGGCGGAATTGTATGCGTTTGTAGAAACCGAAAAGTAACAATCGTTTTTATTTTCAATAAAAAAGAACAGTAGTAAAATTTTTAGAGTCATAGCATGTGTAAAGATGGTCTAAACTGCGTCTGTTCCATATGAAACTTGCGGCGTGTCTCCAGTGTTTCGACAGTAATCCAGTGATATCTGCAATAGTTTACATCTTATTGTAATGGATTTTCTGCAAATGAAAGACAGTGTCAAAACATCCCAGAGTTTGGATCCTTTGGGATCAGAGGGGAAACTCCCCTACTGTGCGGTGCTGCGCCTTGCAGCATTTCGACAGATACATTTACCATTATTTTCCATAGCTTACCTAGGGCTCCTGATAATAGCTTTGGTTGTCGATTGTTTGTGTTGGCAGTAAACTCGAACTGAAATACCGTGAGCCAAACTTTCCATTGGTTTCGGATGGCATTTTATCCTTGTTACATGTGACGGTGTGAATACCACATTAGCTCCTTCCTCCAAAAGATGCTGAAAGAACTAGAAATTGGAATGCTTCTAAACGTATCTCTCACCCTATAACATTTTGATACCACCATGGCGAAAAAGTATTCAAATCCAAACTCAACTGTTGGGAATGGCTGTTCTTCATCCAACAAATCTTTTTCATCTTTTATTGATTTGTGAACCAATACTTCTGTGCGAAGTCTGAAATCAACTAGTTTCGTGTTAAATATTTCACACAAATTACTTGCCCGTCCCTAGAATGTTTCACAATCATGAACTCGAGGAATAACCCGGAAACATTTTCATTGACTGGCAAGACACGTGGAATCGATTTCAGATGTCCATCACTTCGGTATTTAGCAGCTTCGTCAAGAAGTCTGATAAAATCTCTTCCTCTAAAAAAAACTACTATAATAGTCAGCAGAGATGGCGTACCTGAGCTGAACTTTGTTTCCTTTCACATCTTTAAGATTGTACCATTCGGCTGCCAATGATTCCTGATCCGGTTGCGTTTTTAGGTCTCCGCCTGAAAATCAATCACTTCGAGTCAGTTTAATGATTAGTTTCATTTTAAATTTATTTAAAAATAATAATGCTCAAAAGGCTACTAATTTTAACTACTTTGGAAAAAAATGGTCAAAATCGGTGCACATGTGGTAAATGTCAACAGTGGATCAAGTATCCCGAATATTCAAATTACAAGTCTTCAGTGTGCATCTTTCTTGTACATATTCAGTCAATAAAAAGTATGTCGATTGGAAGTATCTCAACTTTTAACAAACTGCTGGCTCTGATATTTTCGGCATTTCTTTTTTTTCAAGGTTTCAAGCTACTATATCAAGCCTAATCTGCTCGAGAAAGTCGTGAAACGGTTCGAGCGGTGATGTACTTCATGTTTGCGCGTACCGTAAACACTCTAATATAGTACCACCCAAACAACTTTGAGCTCTAAAATCTCATTTCCTGTAAAATATATCAAAAATTGGTAAATTGTTCAATTGTTTATCATAATATCACAAACATTTTGTCAGTTGGCCACTTTTTGATTTCTTTTACAGGAAGCGAGATATACTGGCCCAAATTTTACGGATTGGATAGCACTCTATTGGAGAGTTAACAATATTTACAGTAAAAAAAGCATCCCAACTCACCTGTTATTTCACAATAAAACGCAAATCGATACCATCCTGATCCTTGGATTTGTAGGGATAGAAGTTCAATCACATCACAACTGTACCCAGTCTCTTCTTTCACTTCTCTAACCACCGCTTCCTCAATGGTTTCTCCAGCTTCCACTCTTCCGGCCGGCATATACCACTTCCCACGACAGCTTTTCTTCGCTTCTTGGATGAGAAGAACCTAGACAGAATGGTTTTTTCTCAATTCATCAAGATTTCCGTACCTCTGTGTCGTCTCCCTGATGCCTCAAAATTATAGCCGCAGCAACATAATTGACATTGTCATGTAGTCTTACATACCGGCATTCTGCAATTATTTTTTCATCAATGTCGAAAAGTCTCGAAATCGAAAAGAAAAGGCTCACTTCCTAACTGCATATCAGGAACTCTAGGTTCGTTTTTTTGGGTTTTCAATTCTCCATTGGAAAGTCCATTCGTTTCTGAAAGCTTATGAGTGCAATACTTAAGTAATATCAAAATCTTAGGTTCCTTACCAATAACAGCATCCATTGTATCCCCGCGTCGGGATGACTCTGGTGTATGATCCCCACTTTCGACAATATATTCCTCTTCGACTAGATCTAATTTACCAAGTGGCATGATTTCTAGAAAAATATTTATTTTTTTAAGATTTGGAAAACTTCTAGATTTGAAATAAAGGAGAAGGTCGGTTGAAAAAGACTAAAACTCTGATAAAGCGCTGCGTACAAAATGAACAGGGAAGTGTCAAGTGCTAGATCATAAAAAAGAACAAGAATGCAGTAGTATATATGAAAGTGTATGGTGGGAGGGAGCTCGCAAGCATACACAACGAAATGCAAACAAATCCATTAAATGGCGTCGTGGGGGTCGCCAAAACCAGTCAGTGGGCATTGGAAGAAAGCGATGGCGGGAAAGAGGGTGACTAAAAAGTGACTCCTATGTTTTGTCTTCTTTCGTATTGTGCTCATTGCGAGACACAGGACCGCTGGTTTGTGAATTGGAAGAAAGATGCATCAAGGGGCCATAAGAAGAACATTCCAAGTTTCAAGCGTTAGCAATTACTTTAGTTAGTAGGCTTTCCATCTCGGGCGAATTTCACCCGCCCGACCCGCCCGGGTGTGACACCCGCCCGTCGCCCTATTTTTTAAAACGCCCGAATTAAATGATGTTTTTTTTACAAAAAAAATTAGAAAAATTGTTCAATCTATCGATGATATATCGATGAAATAATAAGAAAAATATTTAATCAGCGTGACACAATTGAGTTGGCCCACGAAAACGGGCGTATAGGGCGGGTGTAGGGCGGCCCGTTATTAGGGCGGGTGTAGGGCGTTTTCGGGCGGCCCGCCGGAGATGGAAAGCTTATTAGTTAGAATCGATTTAGGTTTATTAATCCGTGATTTATCTCTTCAGTACATTGTTTAAAAATCATTAAAAATGCTGTAGTCAGATCAGATAATGATTTGTCAGACTAATCCAAATAAACTTTTTCGAATCTAAACAAAATCAGGATGACTCGAATGTGTCAAGTGAATAATCAGGAGCACATAATTGGCCAAAGACAGAAACTTGAATCTCAGTGCCAAGCAGCAAAATTGCAAGTATACATAGAATTTATAGAAATAAAATGTTTTTGGAAAAAGGTTTTAAACTCTGTTAGTCTTTTCTATAATCTTATTGTGCACCAAAAACAATCATCAGGCTCCTTCAAGAATTGGATTCAGCCTTTCCGTCTCGTTTCAGGGGCCATGGCTTGGCGACACCATAAAGAGGGAAAGGGAGCAATCCTTTAATCCACCGAAAAAAAAGAACAGCATGAAATCATAGCGTGTGGCGCAGAGTGGTGTGTTGAAGGGAAGTGCATCGATTTACGAACCTCTTCCTCTCCTCCTCTTCTTTTTCTTCCTTTTTTCTTCTGTAGCCTAAACTCACGCTATAGAGGGTTGGAGAGCTCAGTGGGCAGCACATCGAGCTCCCCCTTCAAAAACCCCAATGGGCCACCACCAATACTCCTCCACAGACACACATACGCACAACCAGCCCATTGTACACTCAAAAGAGATAGGGGAAGAAAGGGTGCCAATTGACTTTCGTTGAATGAAGCTTTATCTTCATGAAGAACAAAAGTTTGAAAACTAGGAGAGATTGAGGATGAAATTTCTTCAAGAAAGCTTTTTAAAGAATTTAGGTTGAATATGAAAAATTCCCAAGCTCTCAGAAAATACTTATGTACTTTAACAAATTGAAGTTTTATTTTGATTTGACAACAATAAAAATTTTCAGATTCGTTCGGCTAAATTTCATATTATTGTTGTGCGAAAAATTGGAGCGAGAGAGTATTTTTTGCAGTCTGAATACGGTAGGCACCTCGAAACGACAAGCCTAAATAGCGCATAGTCGTTGGAGACGAAGAGAAATATTTCGATTAACTGTCTGCGTCCCAACTCCAATTTTTTCGGACAACAATAATATATTATTAATCCAGGCCACCAAATGTTATAATTTTTCACAATTATAAAAAATCTTTAGCCGTTCAGGCGGTAAGCCATACAGCACTATCCAAAAAGGCATTGCCATTATTTTCGGTTGAAAATTTTGAAATCTATGCCACAGGTGAGTGTGAGCAAACCATAAGTCGTTGAACTGATATCATTATGAAAGTTGTTTAATTCCATTCGAAAATAAAACAATCAGAATACTCTGAAAAGAAGCACTGTATGGATGGTCGAAACGGGGTTATCAAATCTTGGACGTATCTTTTCAGGAAGGAAATGGTTTGTTACAGAAGCCAAAAGAGATGCCTCCTGTTCAGTTTTCTAAACCTACAAAATTTTAAGTCAATGTTTGACTGTCAAACGAATAATGTCAGACACTCAACATTGAATAATTTTTGATATTTTCCTTTGAAACAAATTTATAGGAACTGACCAATATGCGAGTATTAGGTCCCCAAAGCGAAAAAGATATGGAACAAGATAGAAAAGAAAGACAGAGACAGACAGAAAGAGAAAGAGAGAGAGAGAGAGAGAGAGAGAGAGAGAGAGAGAGGAGAGAGAAAAAAGTGGAGATTTGCGAGTGTTCATCTCTCTTCTTTCTCTCACTTCCTTCACACTTGATGTTTACGACCGACGTGTTGCAAATTTTGACAAACTGCCAGACATGTGTCCTCTCGACCCAGCACCAATGAGATGAAGAGTGTATTAATGAAAAGCCAACAATTTGACTAAAATGAATATTTTTCTTTCTCAAAATTTCAGATTACAATAATCACAAAAACAAAAATTTCAGAATTTCGTATCAGACCTTTGATTTCGCACAATGGGTAAAATCACATATGAACACGATTTGGTTGAAATGGACGAGTTGGGGGAAGGCTTCTTTGCTCAGGGAGGAGCAGAAAAAAGGCACAAATGGTAGGAGTAGTAAATAAATTAGCTGTTTTTGTTCGGGAGGAAGCCAGAAGAAATACAATTATAAATAGACACAAATTTTCTCAATGAACCAGAGAGGAAGGCGGGGGGATCTTATCGCTCTGACACATCCGAATCGGAATCATTCTGATCGTGTTGCTTTGGATGGTAACTTCCATCCGAACTTCCGTTCATTTTCATCGGTCGAGAGATTCCAGTAGAATTTGTGGTGTCACCAATTGGATTCGGTGTTCCTTGTTGTGATTGTCCACGCGATAGTGTGTTTCGTTGGTTCGCAGGTTTCACTGAAAACTCGTTTAGTCATGTCGGTAGTTGCCTAATTTATTCACCTGTGATGATCAAATTGTGAGCATTTGCTACCATCATATCGGTCACCTGGTCTAGGGTCTTTCCAAGGACTTCAATTCCATTCACCTCGAGAACCTACAAAGAACTTCAACCATACACGCCAAATGTCGACTTGGCTTTGTTTGTAAATATTCTTGAATTTTTTTGATGAAACAATGATTTTTGAAAAAAAAATTGCCTAAAATGCGGACCTAGAGCAGCATGGCCAGCCTCGCGACTATCTGGTTTCAATAAAAATTATACAAAAAAACATACCTCATCGTTAACCCCAAGTAGTCCCGTCGATTCAGCGAGCCCTCCATCCACCAAACGGGAAATGAAGATTCCGGAGACTTTTACCACACCTCGCTCTGTCACTCTTACTGAAGTTCCGTCGCTGAAAATAAAATGTATGTGAAGAAGATCGAAAAGTTCAGACAAGATACCGAATATAGAACCCAAGTGGTCTCTCTTGCCCATGCTTGCACAATCGAACTCTCCGATGCGCTTCCGGCACAATATCGACGTCGATGATGGCAGAGACCTGACGGAAGTCTTCAGGGTTCGAAATCGAATAGCTTCGTTTCGGTGGTTTCTGTTGCATCAGTGCGGAGATGCCCTTCCACCGTTTATCCGAATCCGTTCCGTATCCGTATTTCTCTTCCCACGACTCGCCACGTCGTTGGATAAGGAGACGTAGCACCGGACGAGCTGATTCGAAAGATTTTCGCAGATTCTGAAAATACTAGTTTTTAAATTCTATAGAGAAAAAGTGATTGACATCATCATTAGTGATTGGCAACAAATCTCCACTGATCGAATTGTAGCACAATGTGAACTGAACACTCTCGAGATGGTGTAATTTCTCAACGAGGCACCTGAATCCATCATAAGACACGTGCGCTGCTAATGGTATCGAGAAGCGTCTCCATTCAGAATCGAACTTAGATTTCACTTGCAATGTCGTCGAACTATTGTGATTGAATGATCCGTTGTAGGACATCTAGAAACACGGACAGATACGTCTACGCGCTCTCCGAGTGTAGAAACTATCTCCTTTCACTGGAAAATAATGCTGCGAATGTAAGAAAAATTTCTTTAAAAATTGCTTTTCACAACCTCAACCGATGAGTCATTTAGAAGCAGTGAAAAATAAACAAGCTGAACTATGGTAAACAGCATGGAAAGGTTTGAATCGATTGGAAGAACAGTGTGTCAACGGTTTATGTGTGTGAACAATATGGAAATTTTTCTCAAACGAAAAACAGAAACCCATGAAAAACAGTGAGACGGAAAACGCGAGAAAAAAAAAGAAGAATGGGCTATAATATGAAATTTAACATAACAAAAGATTTCTAATAGTAAGAACAATAATTATCGGATTTATGAAACTGAAAAATAAGGGTGTTTAGCATTGTATCTGCTAGCACACAGGTGACAGTTTTAAAGCTCCGAAAAAAGTGTTACTCATCAAAATCCTCATCAGAATCCATATCGAGCCCTTCGAGTTCCTGAAAAATTTGTTGAGAGAAAAAATTGGTTCCACTAGCCTGAATACCTCATTATCAAAAAGACTCTCATCGATTTCCACTTCGTCCTGTGCTCCAATCAAAGTAACATCCGATAAATTGAGTGTAGCATCACGAAGGAATAGTTGTCGACCTGTTAACCGCCCTGCCAAATTAGCCAATCTCTCCTTTTCAGCTGCATCTATCACCGCTTTTCTCTCAGAATCGAACTTCTCTTTCCACTCACGGAACGACTCCGGTGTGACCACGGTTCCTGTTGAAGTCGGTCATATACAAACGGAAAAACGTATAAAATATTTACCTTCGAACTTCTTCCGGCTCTCTGCCTCTTTTTTCTCTTTTTCAATCTCTTTGATTTCCTCTTTCGCTTTCTTTTTCAGATCCACTAGATCACCGATTTCGTCTTGAAGTGCGGAGACTATTGCGAAAACCATCACCATACCGAGATTCTCTTCGGCAACGGCTCGTAGCTTTTGAATAGATTCAGAAATCCGCTCCTCGCTGAATACATCTTCGATTCCAGCTAGAGTAATTATTGGAATCTATAAAAATCAAATGATGTTCTTCTGAATGACTTTCTCTTTTCACCTCGTCGGGATAGCTTTCAGTGAATTCGATCCCTAACGAAACGTCGAAATCGTCATCGGAAGGGTCGTCATACTGCAAAAAATACAACTTGATTCTTTTCATAAATTCAAAAGAAATCAAACCTGATTCGACTTCAGCTCAATACTCAATTCGATGTTCGGATAATCTCGGCATATAACTTGTATCTCCTCTTCTGAGTAAATCGCTTCAAGCGCTTCGATTTCTTGCTCTTGTTGCTCCTGATGCGACATTTTTCCGCTTTTTACCTCTTGAGTCACTTCCGACTTGTATGCAATGGGTGCAATGTTGCGCCTCCGTGTTTGCGGACAGAGTGTGAAGAAGTAAAACTTTTCACTTCACGGTGTTAATTTTAGCAGGAAAAACTAAAATACAGAAAAAAAAGCAAATTTAAAAAGCATCGTATGAAAAACCTTTCCCATTCTGCGACTGCTTCTTCAAACCTGGAGGCACGGTTTACAAGATTTTCCAGATTTTCGGCTCAAATGATATTTCAATGGGTTTTACGAGAGCAATCTCTTGTTGGAACTTGGAAACAAAACGCTATCGGCTGAAAAAAAAACAAGTCTTTCATTCAGATTTCAGTTTTCCTATCTTCCTTCTCGTAAATTATTTTTCGATGCACAGAGATGAAAAAAAGCACCTCTCATGTGCTCTGGCTCTCTGTACACTCTCAACGTCGCCTAACATAGCTTCTCTTTCTCTCATCCCCCAAAAGCACGTTTCCTTTGCCGCTCATTTCCCACATTCCCAATGAGCGAAGAGCTTCTTAAATGGAGAGATGGAACCGTTCGAGTCGCCGGAATCGCATTGTCTCTTCTATTTGTCATGTTGTATTTTGTGAGTTACATACATTCTCATGATAATGTTCATAACTTTGTTTCTTTTTTAGATTTATCTGTGTCTCGCGGGTGTTTCAAAACGGCACTGTTTCAAACCATCCGTTACCTACGCCGCTGATGACGACGTAGTTGTTTTACGCAGAATATCCGACCTACCCGATTTGACACCACCGCCAGCCTATGATGCAGTTAGAGAAGCTCCACCGCCGTCATATAATTCTGTCGTTTACCATGAAACTATTTGAATGAAGTGGTGATGAAATTATACAAATAAGAAAACGAAAACTATCTTTTAAAAAAACGTGTCCGAAAAAAAGTTTATTTATTATGTCATCCCAGCCATTGCGCTCAACATCCGATTCTTCTCCATGGATTCCGAATTGCTAATTAAGTTTTGAATCGTTGCTCCGCTATTTGAAGCAGTGAAGTTTACAGGCTTGACACGAGGCTTTTTGGGAAGAGGTAGTCCAACACCACGTTGTTGGTTGATCGGCTGCTGAGGTTGAGGACGACGAGCCTGCTTGGCTACAAGCAATGTCAGTGGATGAAGATCCCGGGGAACAGGAATGCTGAACGTTAAGCGAAGTGATGCGACTTTAATTATAGAACCGTCTGGAACGAATAAAAATTAGAAACAATCAGATGTTGGTGATTCCTACGTTTCAATGAAGTAGAAACCATCTGTGGGAGCGGCTTGCTGTCAACGTATATCGGACGCTGTCCGATATTTTGAATTGAGAACTCGTCTTCCCCCAAGTGACTTATCAGTGCCTGCTGACGAGATACTTTTGCAGCCGGACCTTCTTTTGACAAATCAATATCTACTTTGTCATAGGAAGATGCTCGTCCCATGATAGCTGTTTTTCCTGTCATGGCATATTGTAGGAATTTTCCATGAATGATAGCGACCGCGTTATCGGAAATGGCAGCACTTGTCTGAAACTTGCTCTGAATTGAACGTAGAAGAGGATATCGAGCAATAGCGTGATGACGAGCCCGAGATGATCTGAATAAGAATAACATTTTAAAACAATTCAAGCTAGCACTCACTGCAGGGGAATATGAATGTCAATATCCATGCAGATGCCATCTGACGGAAAATCCAGAGATTCATAGTTATATTTTTCCGATGCCGTCGAAATATCTCGATAACCTTTGATACGGCGATAGTGGTCAGAAAGGACTTGTGCAGTACGTGACTGGTGGAAAGGAGGCCTAAAAACATTTGAAGAAAAGTTATGGATGAGGAAAAGGTGCAATGAACGATAGTAATAGAAATCAATTAACTATTTAACTATTTTTAAGTCCAAAAGAGACACAAAAAAGACTCGTTCCGTTAGTGCGCGGATTGCGGAACTTATTAAATTTCCATACAATTTGTTTCGTCGGAAATGATCGGAAAGGACTTGTGGTGTGCGCGAAATGTGGAATATACTTCTGAAAATTGGTTTAGGAGTGAAAAGTTCGCCCGGTGGTGCAGAAAACTATGGTAATAATACACTTCGGATGTTATTACCTATTTTCTTCCAGAATCTTCTTGAAGTGCTCGATCGTCAACACAGTATGATTTTCAGGGTCACTTTTTTCTTTTCGATTAGGTTTCCACACTTTGTCAGCCAAATCCATTAGACGTCGCTCCTCTTCACGTGTGAATGGAATTCGCGATTCAATATGAAGACGTTGTCGTACTGGCATTTGATCGATTCGTTTTTTCGCCATAGCCGATAACTTCTCGTCATACATGAGCTGACAAAATCGTTCTTCTATGTCAGAATATGAGAAGTTTCGTGAGAACGGAAAACTGTTATGAACGAATCGAAGACAGGACACATGGGCAACTGATGCGATCAGCGCGACATCGTCAGAAGCTGTCCAAATTTTCATGGGATCCGACTCAGTTTGCGATGGTTCGCGGTGCGACGAAGACGAGGAGATTTTCTGATATAGAGATTAGTCGTTTAGTCTTTCAGGGATGCAATACCTTTCCCAAGCGCTGCCGTGGTTCAGCTTTTTTGCACAAAAAATCGTTCTCTTCCGACGAGGCTTCTCTTTTGAAATCATCTGTCCATTCTGAATCTTGACTACTTATTGAAGAGCTTGGACGTCGATTGAAGCTCCCGAAAGACTCGGATCTTGAGATTTCAGTCATCAATGTGTTCGGGCGCTCGAGAAAACTGAAAACGAAAAAACAATAATATATCTCCAGAAAAAAGCCCCTATAAATTCTTACTTCGATTCTTCAAATTTTCTTTTCCTTGAATAATCTGTATTGACTTTCGTATTATGTTTCGCTCTTTCAACTCGTTTCTCTTCAAAAACCATGTTCCTGCTCATAGAAGCCACTGCATCGATTGTCGAATCGAGTTTATCGCCCATCTAATAAAAAAATTATCATTATTTTATCATTGGAATGTTTTTTTATTCAAATAATTATCTTTTTATTATGCTTGTCTGAGAAAAAAAAGGTGAGACGCAGAGAAATAGTGTCTGCGTCTCCGCTTCGATATCGCTACCGTATTCAGACTGCAAAAAATACTCTCTAACCTTTTTTTTCTCAGACAAGCATAATATCTGGTGAAAAACTTCTAAAAAAAATCACTTTGAGACCCCCGGAAATTCCGGGGAAAAAAACTCCGGTCAAGGAGAATACAAGTGCGCTCCATTGAGTGGTTGGCAGCATGCCAACCACTACCGTACCCCCAAGAACCTGCATTCCATCAACCGCCCATCGAGGAGAGCCGCCTTATTGCAACGCCGGTTTTACTTTTGCTTTTGGAATTTCTTTCCGAGCAGACCCGTTCAAGATGTTGTCCAAACGCATCGTTACCGCTCTCAACACCGCCGTCAAGGTAAGTTTTTGTTTTTTAACCCAAAGTTTTGCCAAAATAAGTGATTTTAGGCTGGAAAACTAGCAAAAAACTTTCAGATTAGGTTTTAAATTAAATGTTTCGTTTTCTCAACCATTTAGTTATTTTTAGAAACTGCTGACTCCACCAGAATTTCGTGATTCTTGAGCCGATATAAAATTAGTTTTTTTTACAGGTTCAAAATGCCGGAATCGCCACCACCGCCCGCGGAATGGCTGCTTCTGGATCCGAGGTTTCCAAGATTCTTGAGGAAAGAATTCTCGGAACCGAGACCGGAATCAATCTTGAAGAGACCGGAAAGGTATAAAAATCATATCGTTCGACGATTTATTAGTTTTTTTTTGTTTCTGTAGGTTCTCTCCATCGGAGACGGTATCGCTCGTGTTTACGGATTGAAGAACATCCAGGCCGAAGAAATGGTTGAGTTCGATTCTGGAATCAAGGGAATGGCCATGAACTTGGACGTCGACAATGTCGGAGTTGTCGTTTTCGGTAACGATAAGGTCATCAGAGAAGGAGACATCGTCAAGCGTACCGGAGCTATCGTCGACGTTCCAGTCGGAGATGGACTTCTCGGTCGTGTTGTTGACGCTCTCGGAAACCCAATTGACGGAAAGGGACCAATCAACTCTGCCAAGAGATCTCGTGTCGAAGTCAAGGCTCCAGGAATTATTCCACGTTTGTCTGTCCGCGAACCTATGCTTACTGGAGTTAAGGCTGTCGACTCTCTTGTCCCAATTGGACGTGGACAACGTGAATTGATCATCGGAGATCGTCAAACTGGGTAATTTGGTTAAGCCAAATTTAGCCATATCCCATAATTTCAGAAAGACCGCAATTGCCATCGATACCATCATCAACCAGAAACGTTTCAACGACGCCGGAGATGACAAGAAGAAGCTTTTCTGCATCTACGTTGCTGTTGGACAGAAGAGATCCACTGTTGCTCAGATCGTCAAGCGCTTGACTGACGCCGGAGCCATGGACTACACCATCGTCGTCTCGGCTACTGCATCTGATGCTGCCCCACTTCAGTTCTTGGCTCCATATTCTGGATGCGCCATGGGAGAGTTCTTCCGTGACAACGGAAAACACGCCCTTATCATCTTCGATGATTTGTCCAAGCAAGCCGTTGCCTACCGTCAGATGTCCCTCCTTCTCCGTCGTCCACCAGGTCGTGAGGCTTACCCAGGAGACGTCTTCTACCTTCACTCCCGTCTTCTTGAGCGTGCTGCTAAGATGAACAACACTCTTGGAGGAGGATCTCTTACCGCTCTCCCAGTTATTGAAACTCAAGCCGGAGATGTGTCTGCTTACATTCCAACCAATGTCATTTCCATCACTGACGGACAAATCTTCTTGGAAACTGAATTGTTCTACAAGGGAGTCCGACCAGCTATCAATGTCGGTTTATCTGTATCCCGTGTAGGATCTGCTGCCCAGACCAAGGCCATGAAGCAAGTCGCCGGATCTATGAAGCTTGAGTTGGCCCAATACCGTGAGGTCGCTGCCTTCGCCCAATTCGGATCTGATCTCGATGCTGCCACTCAGCAACTCTTGAACAGAGGAGTCCGTCTTACCGAGCTTCTCAAACAAGGACAATACGTGCCAATGGGAATTGAGGAGCAAGTATGTTTTGACAGTCATAGTTTTATAGTACTTATCAGTGAACTTTTTACAGGTCGGAGTTATCTACGCAGGAGTTAAGGGACATCTCGACAAAGTCGATCCGTCCGCCATCACGAAGTTCGAGAAAGAATTCTTGGCCCATCTCCGTTCATCTCAACAAGCTCTTCTCAAGACCATCCGTGACGAAGGACAAATCTCCCCACAGACTGATGCTCAACTTAAGGACGTTGTCACAAACTTCTTGGCAACCTTCAAACCATAAAGCACGGATTAAGGCGTACCTCTATGTGTAGAATTGTTGTTTTATGTTTTTGCTGAGCACACCCATTTTAGTTTCGAAATAAAGAATAATTATAAAAAAAAGTGTGGCGTTATCCAAATTTCGTTTTCTTGAATTGTGTTTTGTATTGTTTTCCCATCTCCAGTCCTAATTCAATTTTTCCTCTTGACTCGGCCCGAGCGATAAATAAACACTCCCCTCCCAACTTGTTCATTTTGCGATTAGAATGACACAAAACTGAAAAAGAATCGTTCAGAAATGGGATATTTAGCACAGACTTGCACAAAAATAATTGTTGACTACACATGAAATCTGTCGAAACATCAAAAACTAAGCTGTTGTTTTTATAAAAACTTCCATGAATGTCAATACAAACAGTGAAGTGATCCCTTAAGGATTTATTATTGGCAAGTTATTTCGTTCAACATTGCTGCATCATTAAGCATAATCAGAGACCAAGTTCAAGAAAATTACTTCTGGAATACTAAAAAAAAAAACGTCTTCCTGATATAACGCTTGTCCACTTTCGAGATTTCAAAAGTGAGATTGGCTACCACCCACACTGAACCGTGACGTTCCGCACCACGGCTTGGCATTGCAGGGTCCGAGACTCGGCAAACAGGTTGGTCTATCATAATAGACCGGGTACCCCTAGCCGTCTCTCAAAATACATTCAGCGTCCATTAATCTTCTGAAAATTTAGTTCGTGTCCGAAAGGGTGCCTCGGGTGCCAGGGGTACAAGGGCACGTACCTCACAGTACCACTCACTCTAGCTGTTGACGGAGAACACATTGAGGGAAAAAGAAACACGACAAAAATAGAATGAAAGCGGCTATTTCGAAGTTCGTCGTAATGTTGTTTTTAGGGCACTTTTTGTAAATTTTGAAAGAGAATATTCCCTTCGTTGTATCTATTTCAGGCTGAAACTAAACATTGTAGTCTTTTTTCTATTTCAAGAGGTCGTTCTTTAGGTCTGATGACTTTTGGCATCATTGTGACAACATAGTCGTGTGTTTTCAATGAAAATTGAAAAGTCCGATTCTCATCTCTCTCTATTTCTCTTCTATCTTGAGACATTTTGTTTCCTAAACAAAATGACTACGATGGCGTGGTGTTTGTTGCACACATGTTCGTCGAGTATTTTCCTGTTAGCTATGGTTTTTTGACGACAAAGGAGCAGTCCAGAAGAAATAAATCTGATTATAAGATTATTGTAGCCATGTTTTTTTTCAGATATCGTTTTAAAACCTCATTCAAATTTTCAGGTTATTATCCTTGTCTGAGAAAAAAAAGGTTGAGACGCAGAGAAAAAGTGTCTGTGTCTCCACCTTATGTGTGCTATTTAGGCTCTCCGCTTCGATATCGCTACCGTATTCAGACTGCAAAAAATACTCTCTAACCTTTTTTTTCTCAGACAAGCATAATAGTACTATTTCTGGAGAATTTTAACAACTGTACACTTTTCTTATCAATCGTCTCTTCTTCTACTATTTGCTTCTTTTCATACTTTTTAACATCTCAATTTTCAATGGTTCTGTTTCCATATGACAATAACAGTGAGCAATTCTCATGGACTGTTTTGAAAGCTTTCAGTAAACAGTTATTTTCCCAGTTGCCATATAAAATTGCCAATTGTCACTATCTATCTGTTTTTTTTTCAGTCAACTCAATGGAGCGCACTTGCAATTTAGGCTCCGCCCCCGACTCCGCCCACTTTTCTCCGGAGTTTTTTCCCCGGAATTTCCGGGGTCTCAAAGTGATTTTTTTTGGAAGTTTTTCATCAGATATTATGCTTGTCTGAGAAAAAAAGGTTAGAGAGTATTTTTTGCAGTCTGAATACGGTAGCGATTTCGAAGCGGAGAGCCTAAATAGCACATATTAAGTGGAGACGCAGACACTATTTCTCTGCGTCTCACCTTTTTTTTCTCAGACAAGCATAATAAAAAGATAATTATTTGAATAAAAAGATAATTATTTGAATTGGCCCTTTTCAGAAGTCTTGCACTGAAAATGAGATATATGTGATGGTTAGGGGTGTGCTTAAACCGAGCACAATATACGGGCTCAAAATTGACCGGTTGGGTGGTACTCTATTAGAAAGTTTACTGTAAGTTTTCTATAACTAGATGATCTTGTAAATCCGAAAATCAGACAAATGATGTTCTCTGAAATACCCCAGGTCGTGTTTTTCAACGGGAAAGAAAAACATGTGCTCACATATTCAGCTCCCGTCATACAAAGAAGAGAGAGAGGGGGTTCCTCGTTTGCTGCTTTTCACATGAAAACGCACACGACGGACGGCCATGTTTACTTCCGACTCTTTTTTTTTCTTTTTTCCCCTATTATCTACCCGCTATTGTAGCTAAAGAGCTTCAATCTTGTTTCATTTCCTTATGCATTTTATCTCATAGTTAAACACAAATCAAGTGATTTCCCTCATTTTTCAAAAGATGGGAAATAAGAACAAGTGACCGATTGGTTGGACGCATGATTATTCTCCTGAACAGAGAACAGTATGACAGTGAGCACATGTTTTGGGAGACATTTGTTTCTTTTTCGAAAAAACTATGTTTTTTCTTATTGTATCCTTTGATTGATTTTAAACATTTGTTAGCTGGTAGGGACAAATTTGAATTTTGGGATTTTTTCAAAGCTCCAATCTTACGGGTTAAACTAGCAAAAGAATTTTAATCCATAATTCCTATTTATGAACTCGCTCCAGGAGAGAAGGTTGGGCTACTTAAGCACCCCTTCTAAATTTCCAAAACCTCAATATTTTGAATTACTGGGTTTAAGAGGCTTTCGACCCAACTCCTTTACCTAATCTCTGAGTCAAAAAATCTTGGTTCTTTTGGCGCATCTTTTTTATCTTCATCATCATCATCCACCATCATTTCCATTTCTGATGCACCAGACACCATAGAATCCTGAGACTCTAGTTTCAGAAGAGTTGTAGAGCAAAACATTTGGTTCGAGTAGCTTCCAGAACATTTCTCACACCCCGCCCTCACTCAAGTGTCCATAATTCTGAGCTATGGTCTATGAACCACTATTTTCATCGCGGTCAGCAGCAGCATACACATATTTCAACATACGTATACACATCAACAAAAAATGCGATTCCACGTGTAACTGGTATGTCTGCGAGGACCAACCTGCGTCTCTCTTATATACTCGTATCTCTTCCCTTGAAAAAGAAGATCACGAATAGAGGGAGAGAGAAATAGGGTGTGAGAGGAAAGAAGGGCGGGCGTAATGTTTGTCTAGAATCGCATCGACCAAGGAAACTCATTTTCTCTTTTTTTTTTAAGGCTCATGGATGGTGAACGTTTTCCCCTTTCTTCTGGACCTGATGTTTTTTGTACTGTGACATTAGTTCTTTCTATAATTCTTATTTATGTCTATTCCGGTTCACCTGAAAAATACGATGCAGCCCAATTTTCAGTTGAAAACTCAAAATGTTCGTTGTCTCCAAGCCAAACCCAACAAACTTCGATACCGGATGCTTTGGTGCATCCTCATCCTGCCATAGCGAATACAATTCGAAGGTATTTTTTTAATAGCGGCCGAGGAGCTCTTCCTATAAAAAAGCACAAATGATTTTGTTTTCCAAAAAGTTCACATCATTGACAAAGATTCAGATCGAAGCTGTCGCTCACAACTCTATCAATGGTCTTCGTGGAACTCTTTGCCGGAATTCATCAAATTTGTCACACAAAATCTCTGAACTTCAGGAGACATGTCTCGCAGATGCGGTCCAGGTCAGTGGTTAAGCTTTGAAAATACGAATTTATGTTCTCAATGTTAGAAAGGAATCCCGACTGGTCAGAATCTAAACCTGAATTTTAAAAATTTCAGATTGAAATCAATTTCTCAAGTCTAAATGCCAACAAAGCGTTTTTTGTTCGCATTGATGTTCCAACTGGTGAGCAAGGAGTCCTTCACTTTTCTCCTTCTTCTGCGGAATTTTCCCAAGTGTTCACCCCAATCCAAAATGGATGCGGTCATGGTGTTTGGAAGTTCAGTGTCTGCACAATGGAAAATGGAAGGTATGCTTTTAGGAGTTACTTTTTAGGACGAACGGAACACTTAATGTCCTCTAACAATCGAATTCCAAAATGTGAACATCAATATCTACATTTTCAGTGAAATCGCTCATTCCCAAGTGTCTCGCAATCTCGATGGAGTTGGAATCCTTTTCTTCAATGTCTTTCCTGATCTGGAAATCCGTCTGACTCAGCAAGAGTTCCTCCATATTTCCCACTGCCATACACGACGACACTAGGCATATTAAAGTCAACTGAATCTTGTATATATTCTTTATTTCAGTAAAAATACAAAATCCTTCATTCCATTCTCTCTTTGTATTACTGTAAAATCCTCTTTGTCTCGGGCATCTTTTTTGTTTTTGTTTCTGATTAATAAAAATGCGTTATGCTTTTAAACAATGCGTACTTAACACAAAAAATGAGTTAGACTATTTAACAAAAGAGAAAGTGATAGTGAAAAATAGATTTCTGGAACCAGTTATTTTATTTTCAGGTTTTCTCGGATGTTTCGCATCTTGAAAAAAGGATTTTTGGATTCTACGTATTTCAAAGTGTCAGACTATCATTTGCAGCAATTTCCCTCTATTTCCCGTTGCGGAACAGTTCATAAACGCAACAGACAGAGTCATCGGCGCGTTTCCCCAGAAGCAGCCGACACTTCCCGGGTTCGCGCCGGCCACTATACTTTGTGTGTCATGAGACTCCGCCCACTTTTCTCCCTTGAAACCGAGGAGAGGCAAACAGAGGAGATGCGTTTTCAAGAGAAAATACGATTTTGCAGAGTTGAGATATTTTCTCGGGTTTTTCGACGGAAATGGATAAAAGGCTGAAAATGATTATGTTTGAGACTAGTTTCAGCTTCTAGGGTGTACAATGAGCCAAGTTATATACGATATAAAAACGACGACTTCCAACGCTATGGGTGGATTAGGAAAAACTCGGAATGCTTCTTTTTTAATTTTAATATACTTCAAATGAATCTAGTAATGCAACTGAATATTGAGAGTGCAATTTGGTTGTGTAATTTTCTTGAAATTTCCATTCGAAAATTGTGCCCATCATTATCTTATTCTGGGCAGCCATTACCTTGTTCTGGACAGATTTTTTGTCTATAAAAATTAAATAAAAACTTTTCCCTTCGGGATTAGAACGAATGTTTGGCTTTACTGTGAAATTCACCTTGGTTGTATCAATTTATTTAACTGACAATGGGAACACTGTTAAAACATAGAAAATATTTCAACTAAAATGACCAAGATAGGAAAAGGGAACGAAGACTTGGAAACTAGTGTAATAAGGAATAATGGGGGAAAGACTCGAAGAAATGAAAAACAGAGTTAAGAAGTAGAGAAACCTAACCGTACGGATGCTCGATTGGATTTTCTGAAAACGAAATTGAAAATAATGGATGTATAAAAAGGAAAGTAAATCTAGCCGTAATGTTTGGCACATGTAAAATGATAAGCTTGTTCATTTTCTCAAAGCCACAATCGCTTTCCCATTTTTGTGGATTGCTTCTTTGACAGCTTTCTTGGTAGGATTGTTAGCACCCAAACGACTGAGAGATGTGAGCCACTCGGAAAGAGAATCGATCGAGGTGAATGTATCTGAAAAATGTAAAGCTAAACTAGAAATAATATATATGACATTTTACTTTATCCAATGGTTACTTTCATAAAAATTGGGAGCTTTATATAACTGGGTTACGATTGCTCATCAATTCTTTCAGTCTAGTAAATTACCTTTTTATAAAGTTTTTATCGAAATGTCAGCTGAAACCAAATTTTTTCAGAGCCCTTTTGATGTTTATCATTGAAGAAACAAACATACTTCTGTCAAGTACAGTACGCATTGCTCATCATATGAGCTTTATTCACCTTTCACACCAGAAACTCCATCAAACATCGCTTTCACCTTTTTCATCGTTTCCTCAATCTTATCATCCAAACTTTTAATTCGATCTTCTTCTGAAAATATATGTTTTTCTCACGCCCTCCCATTTCATTGAAACTTACGCTTCTGAATGCGTACATCAATATCATAATCGTATAACGCGTCCAACTCATGCTCCAAATTCGATCTCTCCACTGCCAACTGACGACGATATGAGTCGCGACTTTTATTGTAGCTCATAAATTCTGGAGTGAAGATTGGTCCGGTATACTGTAGCGCAGATGAACTGGAATCCTCTTTGTTCAATAGTGGACAAAAGGCAGTCGGCTTCGGGAACGACATCTGAACTCCTGGCTCGTTTCCGTCATCATCCGAGTCGTCTCCGTGTTTTCGTTTACGGTTGTTCGCCGATGCCTGTTGTATTCTGCGGTATTTCGAGCGCTTTGCTGGAAGTTTTAAGTACTTTTTAGTTTTGTTACTATATGCCCTTACTTTGAAACTCTTTGTGCAGATCAGTCTTCTTATACTCTTCCATCAATTCTATATATTTTTTCTTCTCTTCTTCCGCTTTTTGATGAAAGGGAACTCGTTCATCAGCTGACAACTTCTGCCAATCAGCTGCTAATGAGATATTAATATCTCGTTGTGACATCGTGGCTTTCGAGTAAGAGGCTCGACGATGGACTATGAAAAGAACATAGGCAGAACGATTGCGTTTTGGCGCGTTTGGATCAATGAATGGAACTGCATCTTTGTCTTTTTCAGCTCGTTTCTGGAAAAGAACGAATCCTCCTTTGAATTCTGTATTGCTCACTTACCTTATACTTCATTTTTGGTTTTTTTTCCTCTAGTGATTTCTTTTCATCTTTTTTCGGTGTCTTCTCCTCGTCGTCCATCTCATGGTCATCAACAACTTCTTCCTTGATTTCCTTGCCTATTTTGTCTTCTTCATTTTTATCCTGCTCCATATCCTCTCCTTGAACCGAATATGCCGGTGAGAGTGCAGGTGGTGGACTGAATGATCCATCCTTTTCAACGACAACTCGGACCGTTTGTCGGCACGATGGATTCTTATTTTCTTCTGGTGTACGGTTCATTTCCTCTTCCATTAGTGCATCAGGTTCGTCTGGTTCAGCATCGAGAGTTGGAATGTCTGCGGCTTTAGATGAAGAGCTGGTACCGGAGGTGGAGTCTGACCTTTTTGACCGCATCTTTCTGAAGAAACAACGTCCAAGAGATGTGAGTATATCGGGAAGTGGAGTTTGAAAAAGGGGACAAAAGCAAACACCCTCAATATTTGGAAATGAATTAGATTGGCACTTATGAAAAGTGCAAAATGTTTTAATTGTTTAATTATTCCGGGTAGTTAGATATACTAGGACAGTTCAGTTGTTAACAGTTGTATACAGGTTAGTTCAAATATGGGATAGCCGTTCAAATGAATGGAAATACCTATAATTTTCTCGGAATCCGCAAAAAAAATAGTTCACGAAATACGGAACTCGAAATGAAAAAAAACACGGAATCCGGAATCCGGACATGAAGATCGAGTGAACACACCCGATTTTCGTTTCTTCGAATAATTTTCACAAATGCATGATACCCAGAATAAGGGTCAAAAGTAAATTTAATCAGAGAACATTCACAGTAAGAGGTCATTAGGAGGTGGCTACTAGATAATAGTAGAAAGCTTCGGATTTCAAGAATAAAAAACAGCCTCCATTGCTTCATATGACCCACTCTGCAACAACAAAGAAATCGACATTTGTGGTTTTTTCTATATAACTGTAAAAAGAAATCTAGAACAGGTAGCATTACATCCTTTCAGCAAATTCCACCGAAAATAAAAAAAGCTCGAAAACTTTACAGTAATCTGCCTTAGGATCCACTAAACCAGGATCACGAATTTTCAAGAGTTTCTATTGGGTTGAGGCAAAACCAAATTCGACATGGAGAAAGTCAATGCCGCACTCAGAAATGCCTGAAAATCGAAGGAAACGTGGCAAAATCTCATTATTTCTGATAGGTGGTGGTAGAGAAAATGAGGAATTGAAAGCAGAATAGAAAAGAAGTTATGAAGACGCAGAAGACGAGAGTGGCTGCGAGAGAGTGCGCAGAGAAGTGGGTGAGCAAGAGAAGAGAAAAGATATTCTCTGCGTCTCACATGTAGAAACAGTATGAATACTAGTATTTAGAAAGTGGGGAGAAAACAACATCAGGGCTTTGAACCGAAAGGAAGAAAGGAAGAGAGGTGAACTTGCGAACACGCGAAGGAATATGGAATCAGGACTTCTGTGCCTGATTTTATCTGAGACTATTAATTTTGAAGTCTTAATAAGGTGTTTGAATGTTCCAGAATTACGAGATGGACAAGTATGGGAACTCATTTCATGACTGAACAGCTAATTCTACATAGGCAAATAATTCGGAGGATACAAAAATTTAGGGGTCATTGGGGTACAAAATCTTCAATTCGGGGGTACAAAATACTTGAAAAGGGTTTAGTTTTGTACTACCGAATTGTGAATTTTGTGCCCTAAATCACTTTGTACCCCGTCGTACCCCCGAATTGTTGTACCCTCCGAATTATGTGCCCTAATTCTAGCTTCTAACCCAACCGCTAGTCCTTGTCAGAAGCTAGAATTCGCAGTTATACATGGTATGAGTTCCTTTAGTGTCCAAAAGATTTCTATGGCCGTGAAATCTGAAATTAGATATGAACAAAGAAATCAAATAGGATACTGCCAATTGGAAACTTCTTTAGTAATGAGAGAATAAAAGCATGATACAAGTTTATCGCTGGTAAATTGAAAAAAGTCAAGAAATGAGGAAAAAATTGTTAAAAGGAGATAAAAGAAATTTATTGAGTATCCATTGGCTCCTCTTTCGTCTCTGTCTGAGATTGAGCACGTTTAGCAGCGATTCTTTCACCGATGATCTTTTGTGATTCTTCGTAAAATTGGTTGGGATGGGTGATGAGTTGACCAAGCTCTCCTTCTTCCAGATGGTGTGTGAACTCAAAAAAGCGGGTGCAAGCTTTATCATATTGGTTCAGCTCGGCGAGTTCGGAGATCTGAATATTGAGAAATTGCCAAAAATTTGTTTTTATTTTTAATTTCGGTTAAAATACCCAAAGAATAAAATTTAAAAAAGAAGTAGTAGTACCCGGTCGACTTGTTCCTTTTTGAGAACACTTTCACTGGACAACTTCTGTTTGAGAACTTGTTTCTCCGAGTGCCGGAAAGGACATCCATGACAATCAACTGCGGATGGTGGATTATTCAGAATAATCGTGGCACAACTTAACGCTTTTTGTGGTACTCGACGTCCTTCCTTTCCGTACATATATCGAATATTGTAGGCGTATTCTTTATCAAACTTATCCGATGTGATTTTCTTGGTGAATTCATCACGCATCATTGCGATCGCCTCATCCAACGAGAGGCCGATTCCTTTCAAAAACAGTCCGTACTGTCTTCTGGCTCCATATTTCAAATGGTGATTGAGTCGAAGATGTTTGTGCATTTGTTTCATACATGGCGCAAATGAACGGACGACGAGTTTATCAATCATATGACGAGTGATAATAATTGCTCCATCCGCCTGCTCCCCACTGTAATCTTTACCACTGTAGGCGTTGTTTGAGAGGCGAGCAAGACGTGGAAGAAGTCTTCCCTCCTCTTCCAGCAAAGCCAGATGTTTGAAGGCGCGCTGCAATTATTTTAAAATGAAACTATGCTGAAAAGTTTATCGTAGTCATCATCCACTCACTGCCATCGCTGCCATCATAGTATTCTTCATTTTAGACACCAAAATGGTAACCAAATCATCGAATGGAAAATAGGCGAATCCTTTTTTCAGATGCACCGATCCTCGTCTAACAAGCTCAATGGCATCCAGAAAATCGACTCTGTAGAACACCTTTTTAGGCATATCAAGTGAATAAACTTGACACGCGTTCTCCAGATCAACAGCCATTGGTTTTTTCTCCTCATCAGTCAAACGATGAATATCAATATTTACTTTGGATAGAGATGCATCGACGACGACTTCACGCTCTTGTCGCATACGGAACCGGAACAGTTCTCCTTCGATTTGAGTGAACCATTTCTGATTTTCAGGGGTTCGACAAAATGCTAGACGAAGAATGAAGTGTCCGATGTTGTCACGACGCCAAAGCTCATCAGCCTCCTCTGTATTGAATGGTTTCTGCTCGGGAAATACTGAAAACTGATTGTTTTTAAGAATACTACACTTTTCTAGCATACCAATCAGTTTGATACTTTCACATGCTTTTTTCAGCTTGGCTTTGAACTCTTCACTATGAATGGAATGGTTGTCTTTGCAATTTTCAAATGTCTTCAATAATTTCAGTCTTTCCATAGCAATTTCGTCAAATTCCGTTAGTGAAATGTCATCTCCTGGTGGAGCTTGATATAACTGAAGATAACCAGGAATCTCGATATCGCTGGATGGGCCATTCTGAAAAAAATTTCAATCTGAACTGAAACAAAACCTAATGAATTCTCTAATACCTTGATACTTTGTCTATTACTTGCAATTTTGGTGCGAACATGCCGGTTGTTTCCACCTATGAACATCATCTTAAGTGTCTGCAAAAAAAATTCTAAAAAAAAGGAAGCTGTTTCATAAAAATTTTCGAACGCATCGTATTCGCGCGCATTGGCTTCAGCGGAATTGCGGAGTGTCGTACTGGCTTTTTTGACAAACCATTTTTTTTGGCTTTCGCAATATTTTGAATATCAATTCTTATTTGGCTAACAATTTTTAAAAGCTTCAAATTTTTAGCCCAATTAAAGCAATCTAAAAGAATTGAAATATTTTGAAATTCATTAACTGATAAGTTAATGAGCTGAGAAGTTTTAAGATGGTTTTTTGATTTTTTTATTTAGCTTCTTCCGTATTCAGAGTGGTATTCAATAACATTTATTATATTATCAATTTTATAGTTCAACTCAGCGGCTTCTTCTCAGTCGGAATATCGGAGTGTCGTTGTCGTTTTTGTTTCCACGTTTGCCAACATGAAATCAATAAGCATCTCGTTCTTTGCTTGTTTCCCTAAAAACCTTTCCTAATTTTCATAATTTCAGTGTCAGACGGCTTCAAGATTATTTCGTTTCCCGAAATCCATCAGAAACCACCGGAAGACATGAATTCCTTCGGCAACGCGTCTGTCGACATTGATATGGTGAGTCAGCGTGAAATAATAGGACAAAAATATATGAAAAAACTCGTGAATCGCCCGTTCATTTCTTGAAAAAATTCTGGAATGGGCGCCTCTGAGTCTAAATTACAAGTTTTCGCTACAAATTCATCGCAAAAGATCGATACCAATGAAAAAGTTGTCTTGCTAGAGACTAGATTTCAATTTTAGTTTTTTTACAGCTGGAACGAGAAATGGTTGCCGGGGAAGCAGCCAATTTGAGCGGAAACATCGCTGGAATGAGTGCTCCGAAGAGCTCTTCAGCTAGAAGAGGTCCAATGCAAGAAGTTGATCTGGATACTGAGTTTGACACGCTGGAAGAGCCCGTCTGGGATACTGTAGTAAGAATTCGATCAAATGCTAATTTCTAAAAAATTTCATGATCTCAGAAGCGAGATGTTATCACTGTCGGCGCAAAATTCAGTCACGTCATCTTGCCACATGGAGACAAACAACAGCTCCTTCGTGATTGGGATCTCTGGGGACCCCTTTTCATTTGTGTCGGTTTGGCCTTGTAAGTTAGAAAAAAACCTCTTCGACATATTTCTAATCAATTTACAGACTTCTCCAACACAACGGAGGTACTGAATCAGCTCCTCAATTCACTCAAGTCTTTACAATCACATTTTTTGGATCAGTCATTGTAACTGCGAATATCAAGCTTCTAGGAGGAAACATGTAATTTTATTATAAACAAAACTCTAAAAAAGTATACTGTTCAGTTCTTTTTTCCAATCATTGTGCGTCATTGGCTATTGTCTTCTTCCTCCATTCGTCTCCGCAGTTCTCTGCTCCATATTTCTTCATGGTATCGCTTTCCCTCTCCGATTGCTCATCACTTCCGTTGGATTTGTTTGGTCCACTTATGGTAATTCTTTAAAACGGTTTAGAAACGAAAATTTTTATTTTTAGCGTCGATGGGATTTCTTGCTGGATGCCAACCCGATAAGAAGCGTCTTCTCGTCATTTACCCAGTTTTCCTCTTCTATTTCGTCGTCAGCTGGATGATTATCTCCCATTCTTAAATTCATTTTCATCGATTATTTGAAAAAAATATTTATTTTTGGTGTTTTCCCCCTTCATTATTCCAATCAAAATAACTCGTGATGCATAACTTTCTTCTCGTTTTTTCTGTGATTTGTCGGTTACTGTAGCTTTCTTTTTTTCTGGGCCTGAACCTGAAGAGCCATAACACTTTCGATTTGATGTATTTATTTTTCATTGTAAAATTGTGTTTTTATTGCGTTAAACGCAGAAAACGAAATGAGAAAACAAAGGAGTTTTTTTCTGAAAAAAAATTCCTTGAAAAAAATTGAAACTTGGATTTGGTGGGACCGGTGACGGTAGAAGAGACTAAATTGGCACGGGGAAGTAGCAGAAGATTAAAAAAGAAACTATGCTAAACCGAGAGAGAAAAGGGAGTCACCGGATGAAGAAACTACAAGTGGACCTGAACAGAAAGTCGTGGGGTCGTGAAAATTCAATAAATAAATTTTAAAAAAACATTTGATGGGGAAAAGAAGAAAACTAGACTAGCGATGTGATTTTTGTAGTAATTGGGATGCGATCTTTGGGGGCAATAATAAAGAATAAAGTGGGTACTGTGTGCTGGAAAATTTCAGGAGACTGCCAGCAGTCATATTAAAACTTGGAAGAGAGGAAAATGCAATAAAAATGTGGATTAAAATATGTAGTTGTTCATTGGAGTATGCCCTAGGAAGCAATGTGACTGAGCATTCTCATTCCGTTGGCGGTAGCTTCAGCAGCCGATTGACCAAATTGATGGTGTCCTCCCTGGCTTTGGTGCATATTCTGATGAACGAATTCATGGTTAAGAGCCAAAAGAGAGGAAAGATCGTTCTGAGAAGCATGATGGTGCATTTGTTGCATCATAGCAGCAGCCATATTCAAATGGTTCTGTTGCTCTGGCGACGGAGTGGGTGGAGACGGATGGAGAAGCATTTGTCCATTCTGCGCATTTCCTTCTCTCTTCTCAGAACCACCAGAAGAGGTGGAAGACGATGAAGAAGGAGTTGTTTGACCTCCTTGAGATGGTGTCTGTTGAGCGGAGGACGAGTTGAAGTGGTTGATATGCGTGGCCTCGTGTCCGATTTGTTGAGATCTTTGACGGAAAGCACGACCACAGAACGTACACAGGAATGGCTTGATCCCTAAAAATTTCCAATCAGGCAAAGGAATCCCAGATCCAGCTACCTGTATGAATCCGCTCATGCTGATCCAAATGGCTCTTCTGAGTGAAGCTCTTCGTACAGAACTGGCAGATGTACGCCTTCTCCTTACTGTGAATTCTCATGTGCTGCTGGAGACCACCACGTGCCTTGAACCGTTTGTGACACGCATCACATTCATGCGGACGAATCATCCGGCACTCAGCCATATGCCGATCAAGCTGGAATTCAAAACTTTGGAATTTCTAAAGTTGCAGATATCTTACCGCCGCCTCACTATCCACTTTCTTCGGGCAAAATTGACACTTCATAAGTCCGTCGTGTGTAGAACGCGACCGTTTCGTAGTTGGAATCGGAGCTGCAGCCTGATTCATAGCGCTCTCTGTCGACAAGTGACGCTCCGATCCATGAGATGAATGACGACCGATAGCAGCTAGAAAAGGTTCGAAATGGATTTTTTGCGAAAAACCTTACCCAAATGAAGTGGCTGCTGCTGAATCATGTTCATGTAGTCAAAGTCTGGGAATCCAGGTGGTCCACCCGATGAAGCATCGTGCTTCATCATCATGGTGCCGACGACGGAGAGCGCCGAGAGACCGTCTGATCTGACTGAAAAAGTGAATTTCGAGATGGGAAGGGGGAATAGAGGTTATTGTTCTGATGAGAATGAATGAGGGGAGGGGGGAAGGTGCTGAAACAAAAGTGAAAAAAAATCAAGAAAAGGCAATAGGCATACTTGCAACGGTCCGGGGGTAGGTTTTTTTTTCAGATCTTTCAAGGCCTGGGGTTTTTTCAACAAAAAAACTGAACTTTCAAGTCTGTATGTTAGAAATTCGAGAATCTACAGTGATCCTACAATATCAATTTGAATTCAATCACAGAGAGACAGGGACATGAAAAAACAGTTCCTTCGAAATTTCGTTCATACAACCCCTCGAGGAGTTGAAGTTGTGGGTCCTTCAGTTGCAGGTGCCGTGTCGCTACCAGCTGAGCTATGAGGGGCGCAAGCTGCACAGGCGACTGATATCATATATTACGGCTACTGTAGACCCACACACGTCACTACACACCTGAAGTTTCTCACGTAAATCAGAGATAAAAAATCTCTATCCCTTTTTTTAAATGGCAAAAACCACTGCGGCATAGAAAAAACAGGGACGCTCGGGCGCAGAACGCGGGAGGAAAGGGGCCGCCGCGCGCGCGCGCAAGAATCGTCGTGGGGGGCGCTGTGGAATAAAGAAGGATTCTTGGCGCTGGAGAGACGCAGAGAACAAGGCCTGAATGGAACACACGGCCCCCCACGGACGCTGCAGAGGGAGGAGAGGACAAGCAGTAGAAGAAGAAGGAATCCAATAGGGGAAGAGGAATGGGAAGAGACCAACACTCTTTTTTTCTCCCGTTCTTTTTTTTTGCTGTATTCTGCGCTTCTTCTCTTCTCTTTGTATATTTTAAAATCTAGGGAGGCAGAAGGAGACCAACATATACACTTTTTCCTCGTTTGTCTTTATTCCTTTTCCTTCTGTGGGGGGGGGGGTCAAACCAATTCCTAGTAGCACATGAACTACAGTAACCCGTGTAGCCGACTCACCATCAAATCCTACCGAAGGAGAAAACTCTCTTTTCACCATCGAAGGAGCCGATGTAGGACTCATCAATGCCTCCCGAACCGAACGATGGTCAATGAGTGGAGACGGTTTCGACTTTTCGGCTGGTGGTGCTCCAGAAGACGTCGGCGGTTGGGGTGAGGATGGGTTCGACGTCGGCATGATCATTGGAGCAGTAGGATGATGATGGTGCTGCGAAAATTTTGAGTCAAGATTGTTGAAAGGCAAAAGAGTATTCAAAAAGATATCAGAGGTATTACTCTTGTCCGAAATCAATGCACGTTGCGGCCGAGAAAACAACGGTGGGCGGAGCTTAGCTTCCACAGAGAGAACCTTACTGTATTTTTAAAATGATTGCACGCGCCTTTAATACAGTACCTCAACATTTATCGAATTTTCTCAAATTTCTCTCATTTTTTCGCTTGTTTCTGTCTAATTTTGTGTAATTCTTATAAATCTTTAATTTATTTTTCTTATAAAATAGAAAAAAAACAGCCAAATAGGGATCAAAATAAAAAACGTCCGAGGTATGGTATTTAAAGGCGCATGCATCAATTTGTTTTTTCGCTGTGCGACCGACGATGCGATTTTGAGTAGATTTTCGGCCGCAACGTGCATTGATTTCGGACGAGAGTAATAACAATCATAGCTGTCGAGTGTATATAGGTGACGAGCCGTCCGAGTCGACACCGTGTATCATGACATGGAAACGTGGATATCCATCACGTTTCATCATCTTTTTTTGGGTGAGAAGAAAGCAATAAATAAGTTCTTAATAGAGGCTAGAAATAAAACTAAAAAGTTTTCTAGATAATATGTCTAGACAGTCCCATGAGGAGTTGAACTCATGAGAAATATATCAGGGGCACAGTGTTGCTACCCGCTGAGCTAAGCGGGCGCGAAGCCCTAAGGACTAGCGACATTCCCTTAATAAATTTTGAAAAGGGGTTTTCGAAATTTTAGGTCGAATCCCGGAATTTGATTTTTTTCGAAGTGTAACTATAGCTAGACTCAATCAATATGACCACGCCCATTTTTCAGTTACCAGAGTATTGAGAAACTATCAATTCAAAAGGAATATTTATGATATGACAGCTACCCCTCAGATTTGTTTTCTAAAGCTTCTTCGGGTGATAACGCCAGCAGTAATGGAAGTCACGCCCAACATAGGAGGTATACTGTAGCTTGCCGAAAACTCGAAAAACCTGAACTTTCTTTTTAAAAAAGAAGCTAGGTATACACTAATCAAGAGCAAACGAGAAGAAGAAAAAGAAAAAGGTTTCGTTAAGTTTTTTTTTCGTGGGCACAAAAAAAACTTCCATTTGTTATCATCTGTTTTCTTATCAGCCGGTATGAGAGGGGACGAAAAAAAGAACTGAGAGCCAATAAAAATTGATATAGATTGGAAGTGAGAGTGAAATGCATTTCAGAAGAAGTTAAGAATTCTTTTGACTCGAAACCCTTTCCTAGAAAAAAATCTTTCTCGTTTTTATGTGCTTCCATATCACGACCGCACATAAAAAACTACCAAAAAACGGACATCAAGAAAAAGAAAGCACTGAGAAATATCAGAAAAAAACAATTGAGAGATGTTTCTATCTGCAAAATTCGTGAATGAAAATTGTTCAGGTTCTCGACAAAATTGGGATTGCTTTAGTTCTCTTTTGCCTGGAAACTTGCATTCTTCTCGAAATCTAATTATGGAGTTCACATTTTCGGAAGTTCAGGTGTTCATATAGAAATAATAACTAGGTAGCCGGCTAGTCATGCGAAAATTTTCTGAAACTTACAGACACTAGAGTTTCTAATAAGATCAGACTATTATGCTTGTCTGAGAAAAAAAAGGTTAGAGAGTATTTTTTGCAGACTAAATACGGTAGCGATATCGAAGCGGAGAGCCTAAATAGCACACATAAGGAGGAGACGCAGACACTTTTTCTCTGCGTCTCAATCTTTTTTTTCTCAGACAAGCATAATAGGTATGGGAAAAATATATTTCGGTACTATGGGTCTCTCTAGCAACCTCAGTACAATGCGAATACTTTTTGAATCTTAATCAAAAGCACCTGGCTACCTGATGTGAGGTTGAAAGTAGAAACAGTGTCTAAATTGTCACATATCTGACTGGAAAGAAAAAAGATTAAAACTTTTTTTAAATTACAGATGGAGGATCAATAATTGTCTGAAGAGTCTCAATAGGTCATGTCAATTGCCGTATGTAGAAGCAATATCCGTTTAATAAAACACTTGGACGGGAGGCCTCCAACTGCACCAGAATACGTTATAAAAGCGTCGAGTTGGACACCAGATGGGCTACGGTAGTCTCGCAAAGACTCACGTCATCAATAGTCCCGCCCATTAAGACGTCGTGAAGGCTCTTCAATAAGGGGAGTCTAGAAACAGAGAAAAACGAAAAAGAATCTCTCGGGGGTCCTCCACTCCCAGGGAGTGCAAAAAATGCTTGCGGCCGCCACACGGAACAAGGCGCCTGGCGCCTTCAGAAAACGAAAAACGGAATATGTGTGCATGTATGAAGAAGACCATCATCCTCTCCGTCGTGCCGCCCGGAGTGGCCGCGACTCCCTTTTGCAACTGCTTCGCAGTACCCTCCTCTCTGGCGCCAGGGCGGCTCCCCATTTTTTGCTCTATGTTCCTTTCATCTCTCTTTTTCGCTTTCTTTCCGAGAAAGGACAGGAAGTATTTGGATTCGAAAAAGTCATCAGAAGAGTTTGATGTAGGCGTATTACGGTTTCGACTTTAGACGAGCCATTACTAATGTAAACGGGATTGGAACGGGATGCTAAGGTCTCCACAATAAAATGTGGACGGTCCTATTCACAGGGAGTCGTCCCGTAGGCCTTCTTACTCTCATTTTTTGCAAAAAAAGAAAGGAGTAGAACGACAGGGAAAAATGAGAAAAAGCGGAGTCTACTTTTTCACACACACAATGTTTCTTATTGAGAAAAAACGGGAGAAAAGAAAAAAGAGAAAAAAATGAGAACGAGCAGGAAGAATTTTCTTTTTGGGAGTTTTTTTTTGGAAATTCTGAATAGTGAATATGGAATAGGAGTTCAGAAAAGGAAGTTCCGAAACTCACAAAGTATTGTTGCTGGTGTTGATGGACCATCAGCTCCTCAAACCATGTGAATTCGTTAAAATGAGATATTATGCTTCGTTGGTCTTCGTTATTATGATAAGAGAACATTTCTGAAAAGTTAAGTAGTTTAAATAGGCAAAACGTTTTCTGAAAAACTTACTTTGCAAGACAGGATATTTCAAAGGTTAGTCGTATGGTACATTTTGCGATCTGGATTTAAAAAGAAATGGCATGTCAGGAAATTTAGGAGTCGAGGGTATGTCGAAAAACCGGTAAAACTAGGTATAAAACCTATATATTGAACAAGAAGTTTAGGAAAAACCAATATAACTTTATAAAAACACACAGAAATCAACAAGCTATATGATCTAACAAATTTTAGAAAAAAAAACAATAGGGTCTATCAAACAGCGGAGACATCAAAAACGTGCTCAGCGAGCTCTCGTTTCTCTTTATGCCGTCGCTCGTAGGCCTTCCGTTTTGACGGCTTCACTCGATCGAATTTTCGTTCCTGAAGAATAGGTTTTTGTATTTTCACTAGCTACTAGAATAGTACTCAAACCTTCTGCTCATTGATGGTCTCCTTGACACGGAGAGCTTTGTATACTACCCACTCTTCCATGGTGACACGAGCAACGTTGACTGCAAAGTCTTCTTCGTTGCTATCCAGAATCCTTTGAAGTTTCGGATTCTCCAGACGAATTTGGGGTCGTTTCGGGTCGGGAGTGGTGAACTTTCCAGTTGCCAGAAGGAATCTATGTCGATCCACCATATCATCCAGGGACAACTCATCAATCCATCCAATGCACTCGGCAACGTCTTCTGATTCTACACCCATCTGAAAAAAATGAGAAAGATGGGCACTTATGCCATAGAAATAATCTTGCCTTACCTGATAAAATATGTACTCGTACTTCTCCTCAATTTCTTCGATCGGTTTTAGCAGGATTTGTGGACAGCGTGAGATAAGATGGCTTGCCTAAATAGTAGGATTATCTTTTTACAATTCTGCCATAAAACAAAAATGTGACCAGATTAGGAAACCTTTAATATGTGCAGAGTGGTAGTATCTACTACAAGAAGAGGATTAACCTTTTCATTGCGATTTTTGGCTTTTTTAAATACTTATTTCAATGGACTAGATTATAAATATGCCTACCTGTTTTTTCGAGAAAAACCCTCCGATTTCATGAGCCAATCGTTGCATTTCCTGTGGATCCCTGGCAAACAGCAGAGGCGGACATCTTTTGATTGCCGACGCAATTGATCGAGGTGTTGAGATGCCACTCGCGGATAGTGCTTCGATGTTCGAGGTGATGCTGGCGGCACCGTGGCGGAGAAGATCAGATGGAAAACTGGAACGAAAGAGGAAACTTCTAGATTATTTTAAAGTGTAATTTTTGTGTTTGCATTCCTCAGTTATCATTTCGTACGCGGGACTTGATCATTAGATTCGAAGCGATTTTTATGGTGTTTAAAAAATAGAGAGCACACCAACTGGGAGGAAAACAAAAAGTGGGAAGAACCATCTGGGAGGAAAAATGGGCGGAGCCTAATTTGCAA